GGGTCTTAAAAATGGGATAAAGTTTTATCAGGATAACGACCCAAAGCACAAATCGCGAATTGTGCAAGAATTCCTTTTATATACTTGTAAAAATGTCCTCCACCCACCACCGCAATCACCAGATTTGAATCCCATTGAAAATTTATGGGATGAATTGGATCGTAGAATTCGGACAACACCCATAAACACAAAAGAAGAACTCAAACGACGTCTGCAAGAAGAATGGCTACGTATTGGGCAAGTTTATCTAAAAAAAATAATTTGTAATATGCCAACACGATTGCGACACGTCATAAAGCAGATGGGATATGCAACGAAATATTAATTTATAAAAGAAAGATTTATGTACAATAAAATAAATTTAATTTTCATGGTGTCCGAATATTTTCGTGACATTAAAATAGGCCTTCTTTCTATATTTCATTAATTATTTATATAACCATGTATCGTAAATAAATATTTTTTATGTTTTTGTTAACTACATACTGCATAGTAACATACGTGAAGCCTCCTTTTGTTCTTTTTAAATATTTCTCTAAAGTACGGATTATAATAGTTAAAATTATAGTGGTGTCCGAATATTTTCGTGACCGACTGTATGTCCGATTGTTCAAGGTTGCCAATGAAATCGAATAAGCGAAGTTCCACCGGATGAATGGTCAAAGTCAAAGTCGTTCGAATAATTTTGTGACAGCAAGGAAGAATACCGCAAGTCTCATATAATATTTTCATTTCCGAGACATCGTCGCTTAAAATTCTGATCAGTCAGGCTTCGTATTAGCAATGTTTCGAATCGCACAATTTTGTCGAGTCTGTCTAGTTTTGAGTCTATTTTTCTGATAAATACGTAAATCGTATATTATCATTAATTAATACGTTAACTTGCGTCGTTTTCCTTATTGCCGCGGAGTTACGAGAGGCATTTTATGCATCGCTGCATTTATATCCGAGCACGGTGGGTGATTAATTTAATTGCGATCGTTTTCCAGCTGATCGCTGTTCGAAAGCTATAAATCGAGAAACCATTCCGGAAAGCTCTGTAAGGTCGGCTCGCCTGACATTCGCACGAATAGAAGTCGCCGACGCTTTCAGCGATCCCAAAAAAAGACTGACATCTTACCTCGGGGATATGCGATCGGGTTGCCGTTATCGTTTTTCTGAAGCAGTGTGACTGGGTCTATGCCAAGGGGCCACTTCGTCATGAGGCGCCTTCAAGCAACTGTCCGTCAACGCAGCTACATACCTCTTGCCCTACGCAACCTGCCAATCGCTGATCAACGCATACGATCGCATTGCGAACCGTATCTAACGCACCGCGAGGTATCATTACGAAGACGCGTTCCATTCGGCAACGAATTCCTCTTGAGCGAATTCCTCATAATAGCCTGCGCTTACTTACCGATCGACAGCACCGGCGACACTTGTACCGATTAATTTGAGAAATACTTTCAGCTCATTCGTTTTTAATCGTGTGTATCGATCGCTTCAGCAGAACGTCGGTTGCCAGTCTGTGTAGTATAGGTAAGAGGAAAAAGATTTGTTCACTTTATATTGAGTTTACCGATGGAATAGATTTTTCTCTTGGGCATTTTCGAATAAAATTCTATTCGAATAAAAGTAACGAACAAATAATTAATTATTATTCGGTTATTTGCTGTTCGAGAATTGTTTATTATTCCAGTTGTTCATTATTCGTTTAGCGAGCCTTCATTCGTTATTTTATTCGTTATATTATTCGTCATTTCTTATTCGCATTTTAGCCTGGATAAATTCGGTCAACCATAAGCTTACGCCATTTTCGGCATTTATGTTATTATGAAGCTGTGATTCACTCTTGTCTTTAAGTAGCCAGTGCTTTTATTTGTCAACACTCGGTATTTATGTTGACACCATCAATTTTTTAGCATTCTTACATATCTCTGTCGTGTGTCTCTCGTTTGTTTGAAATTTGACGTTTCCCCATATCGATAATGCATCAGTATCGACAGAGAAGTCGAACTGTTAATATTGCTCTAGATTGTTCAATAAAAAATGAAATTCTTGAATTGTTCTGTCGTCGGTGTGTAAGTTGACATGTTTAAAAATGTTTATTTTTTGATTAGAATATTAGGTTTCGTATGTTTTTATATCTAAAGAAGTTTAAATTATATATTTTGTGTATATATATTTTATATCATGATAGACAATTTCTCACGAAATGCCAAAAGTTAGAGAATTGAGTGCAACAGAACGAGTACAAATTTATAATCGTGGAGCACATGGTCAATCTTCGAAAAAAATTGCTCTTTCAGCATTCCAAGAGAAAAAATGATATTCCAAAAAATAAATATTACTGGAAGACCAAAAAATTTACCTAGA